TTAACCATTTAATTACGCGTATTATAATTAATAAAATAGTTAATATTTTTTAAGGAAGATAAATTGACACTCAGCTTACTTTAATCTTTTAAATTTAATATTCCTTAAAGGTTTTCGTTTTTCCCGTCAAAAAGCTATGGGAAGTTTCGAGTTACCGAATTTTCAATATTCTAATATTCAACATACATACCCTCGAAATTCATATCATTAATATACTTTAATGCGTAGAAAACGAAGAGAAATATACACAATTTACTTCATTAAACACTCTAATAGTATTATTCGTTTATTTTTAATTGTATTGCTTTTATTATGACTTCACATTCTTTAATTAATGTTAATTTTTTATTTTTATTTTACTTAAAATTTTTCTCTTTAATAAAATATAAATTGCATCAAGATAAATTTAATATTCAGAATAAATAAAATGGCCAAGACAAAAATCGTCATTAGTTATGAAAGTTTCTGCAAGTAAGTACCGTTGAATAATAAAATATGTAAACAAGTTTTTGAATTTCAAAATCGGTGATGTGCCCCACTAAAAGTTTCTTTAATCTATTTGGTATGTAATGTATTTTAAAATTAAAATTTTCTTATGACTCTATAAGCCACTTATTATTCCCTGCAGCTCGTAATCAATATGATTAATTATATGTTAATTATTAATTATTTGGTTAAATATTTCCATAAGAATGAAAAATTGCTTCCGAATACATTACAGTACTTATAATAGTATTTCGTTCTCATATTCGTTTCGCTTCAACAATTAATAATCCAATAATTATTAACAATCCAAATAAATAGCATCGATCGCAGTTACATTTAATAAAAATTCACTCTGAGATTATTAGACTTTAGATGGTGTAAAAGTTCGACAATTTGTAGTAACTATCTGATGCAACACTATAAAATTTACTGTAATAATTACACAATACTAGAATAATGATATTGTGAGATGAGATATTAAAATAATACCTTAAACTTCGCAGTATTATTATAAGTTACGTATAAGAAATTGATATTAAAGTTATCATAAAGTAAGCCGATTTATTCGTGAACATTGAGTTGTAATAGAAATATATGCCGATGAGAATGAAGTATTCAAAATCAAAATCAAACACAAAAATTTATCTGCATCTGCATGTTTATCTGTTTCATATAAATTACGATCTTTTAAAAATAATATCATATTCTTTACAATGGAACGATATCGATAAAGGACCTTTTTATTAAAAAATGATAGTAAATTGGAAAATTTGGCATTCAGCTTATACGCCGATGAAATATTCAAATGTAAATTCCTCCATAATTATGAATAAATGATATTACTTTCAATCTAAGAAGACATTAAGTAATCGTGAAAATTCAAAATTGTTAATTCAAGAGAATAATTTGTTCATTTTTGAATACTACTTCTAACAATCAATGGTAAACTCACCACGGTTGGCCGAAACTTTCGAGCCTTAATCTCTTCATCTCATCTTGAAAAATCGGTGTTTCAAATTAGTCTTAATCGTAATAATGCAAGTTGCACGATGTGAATAAGGCATTAACGATACGTGAACGCGAATCTCTAATGATTTGAATTTGACATTCGCGCGAGACGTTGACGGTCAGAAAATTTAAGGGGCAAATGACGTGAACGACGTGAACGACGTGTATGAGAAATTGTAACCGAGTTTTAAATTATCATTACTATCGTAACGCGGCACCACGGCCTTCATAATCAAACGCATAAGGAAAATGGTACGAGATCGAGGATAAAATCCGCTAAACTTACGGCTCGAGATGAAAACATCGTGGCCTCGACGAGTGCGCGAGCGATGATAGCGAGCGATCTCTCTCGGTAAGCCAATTCCAAGTGCTCGCCCCGCGATCAGGGGCCGAGCGCATCGAAGCGCACAGGAGGTGGAGTCACCAGCATCGGCATCATCCTCGACGAATTAACGAAGCACAGCCCCAACATAGTCCTATCAGGCCGAGCCTCCCGCTGACGGATAATCGTCATCGCTCGCTTACCGAGGCCATTATCCGGGATTTGTCGTCGGTCAAGCAGAGCTCACCCGGGGCCTCGGATACGACCTCCCCTCGCCCGGCGCTTGCTCGACTGGTAAGCGGGGGCGGAGTAAGGAGGCGCGGGAAAAATCGAGAAGCCGCGAGAGACCGTCGGCGTAGCAGGAGGACACGCGGCCACGTCCCCGCTTATCCGTTCGCATGCGCCTTTCTGCCACGAGCGTCGTCGATCGATAATTTCGCGCCGCCGGCTTTTCCCTCCCCCGGTGACGCACGTACGCCCGAGCAGCCCCCGCGCGGGGGCTTTTCGCGTTTCCCCCGACGACCGCGAGAAGCCGCCCTTGACGCGGCGCCGCGTCCACAGTCGCGGTCGCGTCCGAGTTGCGCCCACCCCGCGAGCGATGCCAGTGTCGTGACGTGCTGCGAGTCGCGCATCCGCTGCCTTCCGCTGAGTTTACTCGGACAGCCGAGGGACATCCGAGGCCGAACGGCCCTCGGCTACCTCCAGCACCACCGACTCGGCCTTGACCCGAGCCTCCGGAACCCCGCGGTTACGCTGTTCCAGGGGTAAGTGCGGAGCCGCGACCTACAGCCCTAGATTCTCTGCCACTATACGTACCTAACCTCAACTGCGCGCGCGCACGCTATCGCGTCCTCGCTACTCCCGAGCTCGTCCTCGTCGTATCGTCTTCCCACGAGTACACGAGTCTTCCGAGACAGTTTCCCTATCGTTTGCTGACGGTAGACATTAATCGTCGTACGGTCGTCTCCGCTATCCTAGCGCGCTTTTCCAGCGACCCGTGTACGAGTGCGCGGATGAACGGACGAGTCGTCGAGCTAAGCGAGTTCTCGTCCCCCGCACCAACGTTGCAACACCCCAACCCCATCCGGCCCCCCCAGTTAGTTAGCAAGGGATAGCACGAGGGAGAATGTGTGTGCGTGTGCGTGTGAGCGTGTGCGTGTGTGTGTGGTCCCCCGCACCAACGTTGCAACACCCCAACCCCATCCGGCCCCCCCAGTTAGTTAGCAAGGGATAGCACGAGGGAGAATGTGTGTGCGTGTGCGTGTGTGTGTGTGTGAGTGTGTGTGTGTGTGAGAGAGAGAGGAAGAGAGAAAGAGAGAGAGAGAGAGACAGACAGACAGACAGAGACAGAGACAGAGAGACGGTGTAGGCGGACGATGAGGAGTTGATGCGGGGAAGGGGGAAAGAG